AAGTATTATTAGCAATCAATCCACATAATCGAACTAAGAATTTTATTTGGGAGAAAACAGCACAACATCAACTATTCAAGAATGTATAAAAAATTACGAATCAATATCAGGAATTCCAATCCACAGAATTGAACTGAGAATTTTATTTGGGAGAAATCAGTGCAGCATCAACTACTAAAGAATGCCTAACTCAGAAATCACAAAATGAAGCAAGATTAAGAGATCATAAGATTATCAGAAGTTATTATTTTTAAACTAACCAATCCATACATGGGCGAGATCATGACTATAAGAGCTATCAATCAGCAAATTACCGCCACCCCCTCTTCATCAACAACCCCCACTTACCTCATCCCCCTCAAACCCAACCCCAACATCTTCGGGGGACGAGAGACACCCTTCGTCCCACTGCTAGCTACTAGGCTCTAGGCAATGCTAACACCGAAAACATCGACAACCATCTTCAATCCCCCAAGAGGAATCAAAGATAGTGTGGCACCTCCTCACCAAACCCGTTGGTGAGTCACCACAAGAGGTTCAAGCCTCCATATAAAACTACTTACCATACTGTTGAGGAAGGACGGGAAACCACTCGACCTTCATAACCCTAGCTCTTTCTGACCAGCAATACCTTGAGGTACAACCTCCTTTCGCTCGACGTAAGAGTAGTATTACCGGCCACCATAGCCCACCTACCCATGTGGAGTCGCCCAACTTCCAGCGCCAAAGATGAGAGTAAGAAGAACCCAACACCCAGCAATTCATGAGCCCAACCGGCAGATGGCACATACCACCCAAACTAATTGAAAATAGAAACGGCAGGAAAAGGATGGTATGCAGCCTCAAACAATGCGAGGAGGGAGCGCTACGTAATATAATCGCCGATTTGCCCGACACATCCACCCCTGCCAACATCCCGCTCCACCAACAGTCCTCTCCTCCTGCTTGCAGAACGAATATCCCGCTCCACCAACAACGCCATCCTTCTGCCATCACCAACCTCCACCAGCAACGTGACCCTCCTATGCGTCGAGGCTAGGTTACAGAGCAACACGACTTGCCCCAGCTCCGGCCACTACCGGCCACTTGCGCCACTATCGCATTGTGCTGTATGAAAACACAGCATTCTGGATGGGCGCACCTGGTGGGGCGCAGCGCTCCCGGTAGCGCTGCCGCTGTTGGCCCCCGCCCCAACAATGGTTTGTCAGAGGAGTTTTTTTATCTCTTTTCCTGACACAAATGTGGTTTCATTATTGTTAGAGGAGGTTACCATGGCCCCAAGAATGACAAGCGTAAGAAAAATGGTCCAAATTGACCACACCAAAAAGAAACGGAGAGCCTGTCTACTTGATTGATTATGTTATGGAATGCATGGTCGCCGGTGCTGGGGTGTTGCCCTGTAACCTGCTGATTGCGGGAGCGTGAGGCCTGGTAGAGAGGTCTGAGGCATTCCAAGGGACAACCAAGGGTAGTTGTTGGGATGGCCGGAGCTGGGCAAGTCGTGTTGCTCTGTAACCTAGCCAGGTGGGGGTGTGAGGCCTGGGAGAGCTCGACAGGGAATAAGACAGTGTTGGACAGTTTTAGAGAGTTTTGTTTGGAAGTCTAGGGGTTCTGAGCATTCGAAAAGAGGAGTAGTCATGCATAGTTTTTTAACCTCTCCTTTAAACTACCAGTACCTCCCCGTTGTTTTTTAGAAGTCGCAGCCGTTAACGCGCCGCGACTTTCGGGGGTCGGGCAAACCGACGTCCGGTCGCTGCAATTTATAGGGAAAACAAACAAACAAAAAAAAA